TGCGAGTGGCCCTGGTAGCCGCTGCTGCTGCCTCCTAATGATGCATTCGCTGCTCCGTCTGTGGTTCTGGCAGAATTTCGTAATTGCATTTTTGGTCGGAGCAGGCCAATTTAGATTCTAATTTCATGCCACAAATCAGATTAGTTGGCCACAATCACACAAGAATGGCCGAGTACAGTTAGATGGCCAAATACCCTCTGCCTCCACGCCTGCTGCCTGCTTCAGTCTTGACCTTAAATGTTTTCAGCCATAAAGTATATAGTTTTCCATGCAGTTTTCTTTCATTTTATTGAGACTTTTACAGCTGTTAAGTGTCGCCAACGCTTGTCGCCTCTTAACTGTTTTTTTCTTAACTCGTTTTCCATGGAAATTGACCCCCGGCTGCACGCAGCTCGTAAAAATGATTTAGCTTCGCCTCAAGTCGAGAGGTCAATAAAATCGAAGCTCCTCTCGTCCAGGCCCCGCTCAGATCTGCATAAATATAATAAATACATATAGTTGCATTGTGCTCGCCCCTCTTCACAAATTAAAAAATCAGTTGAAACTGTTCCCACGAAAGACACACGATTATCCATTATGCCCGGCACAATGATGGCTGCCATAAAGCAGAGTCCATAAAAAGCCTTTGGTGTCGAAAGCTGTTTCAATTAAGGTTAATTTGGTCATATAAAAATCTCGTTAACTATTCGCACTTGGAGGTTTTCTTCAATTTTGTCAACAACGCTTAAAAGTGAGTTAAGACTATAATAATCTTAATATGGACATTGAGTTGCATTTCAATTTATATTCAAAATAGTTTTTATTTATAACTCGTAGTGATAAACATACGCCCTTCTATGCGATTTTCGTGACTGTTAGTTAAGTCTTCACATGTTTGTTTTTTGTCACTTTGTTAAACTGTTTTTTGATAAAAATCAAAATATTTATTAGCTCTTGCTGTATCAGGTCTCTTTCAGCTCTTGTTTCGGTTGCCCATTCGTTTGCCTACCTTGTTTCTCCATCTCTATTAGTCTGTATCTTATTCCATATTTTGTTTATTTTTCATTCATAATATTTGAAAATATCTTTCTTAATATCTATGCTTTTCTCTTTCTCATTCAGAGTTTTATCTATATCTCTCTATTATACTTTCGTTAGCGACTCTCTCTCATTGTATCTACCTGACTAGCTCTCCCTCTACCTGGCAACCTATCTCTCTATCTCTTGTCTCTCTCTCTCTTGTCTCTCTCTCTCTCTCTCTCTCTCTCTATCTATATCTATATTTCTATCTCATTCACTCTCCAGCTCACTACCTCTCTATCTCTCTCATTGTCTATCTCTTTCCATCTCTTTCACTCTCCATCTTACTGCCACTCTCTATATCTCTCACTCTCTATGTGACTACTTCTCTCTATCTCACTCACTCTTTCTATAAGACTAACTCTCTATCTATCTCTTTTTCTATCTCCCCCACTCTCTCTTTGCCTATGCATTGCCTCGAGTAAGATCTACTAAGGCGTACTCCCCATTCCATCTCAGGTCGATTTCTACCTCCGTCTTCTTTTTCGATTTTTCTCGAGATTAAGTAAATAAATATTTTCATAGCCACAACAATAACAATTAATCCGAAATAATTATCATATGCAAAGGTTGAGCACGTGAAAAATTGATACAGTTCGAGAGCTGAAACGGAAACGTGATGCTGGCTGCAGGCATAGCTGAGCCCTCGACATATGAGCAGCCATTTGTTAAGCACAGATGCTGCAGTCCATTAAGGCAACGCCCACATACACACACACACATATGTATATATATATATATATATATATATTTTGCTGCCAGTTCACCTTTTGGCCTGGCGCTGAGTCAGAGCCAGAGACTGCGCTTCGGCCAGGCTCATCAATTTCTGCTTCGATGTTCAATAAAAATAAATCGTAAATCAATAAGAGCTGCACTCAAAGTTCAGAGCCAAAAAACTTGGCCTCACTCTCTCGCTGCCGCCTTCCACTCACTGCCCCCTCTTCTTCTCACTTCTTTTTCTTGAAAAACTTAACTGTTTTTATACCCTGAACCCATTGAAAATGGGAAATCAGGGTATAATGGTTT